CCCCCCATCGCTGACATCATGAGGCTCCCCCACAATGAGTGTTCTGTAATCAATGCCAGCAATCACACAGCCAATGGAGGACTAGGCTGGAATTGCCTTACATGCAGGAATAAGATACTCAGCTAGAGAGTGAGGACATTACCACCTTACCTGTTCAGCTGATTAGGTCAACATAGTTAATTTAGGGATCAGAGTCATTAACCATCCAAATCTGTAAAGAGGATGAGGTCACTGAAAACAGGTCAGACCTGTATCAGGAATGAGGTCATTAATCCCAGTGAAGTGGTCAAAATCAATATCAGAATGAACAGAAGGAGATGATGTCACTGACTGCATAAAAATCAGGGTGAAAACATACACCCAGCGTTAGCTGTTCACGCTATTTGGGACTATGTCTCTTCCGTTCACTACATTAAAAATGAATTAAATTGAATGCACGATTCACTGCAGCAGTCTTTTCTGAGGTCTAAATCACACATTTCGAAATCCTCATATATAGCAGAGTTTATTTAGCCAATTGAGCTGCAAGCGTGGACACGCCACCCCCTGCAGTCAAGGTCGAGAGTGTGATTGGTTTCTTTAGCTATGGGTGATGGACATACTCCTTGCAGTAAAACATGATATATGTTGCACAACACGATACAGTTGGCTTTGTGCATCCATGAGAGTTTACCACACAGTGACGTAACTAACTAATGAAAACTACCTTTATAAGCATTGAATTCACCCATATTATATCAATATATCATCTGAACAGTGAGTTGCCCTTTTTCTATTGGCTGGCAATCACATGACCCCTGCAGCAACCCAGACCCTAAGCATTTATACACTTGGTAGTTCCTCAAACTAACTCCAGTAGTGTGCAAACATCCGGGTCAGAAGACGCTAGCCCACAGAGAGCTGCTCGCCTCTTACATCATAGGAGATTACAGATACATACATGCCCACCATGAAAATGGGCCAGCTGAATGACTGGTCCTGGGAGTGCTGGTGGAAATGGGGGATGGGGCTTCAGCTTAGATGGACAAGACCACCTCTGAAAGAAGAGAAACTGAGAAGAAAAAGAAAAATAAGGGCACAGAGCTTCACCTGTCTTTTTTTCCCCAGTGATTGGCTTCTACAAGCATTGATTGGCTCGAGCCGAAAGCTCATCTGTGACAGTGCGGGATCATGGTGACCCATACCGTAACTGTCCTCGAAAAAGCAAACACGCGACCGGGACAGGAAGTCAACCTGCAACCCGATCCAAAGGAAGGAAGAGGTCCGAAACAGGACTTCAGACCTTTCACCAGGCGTATTCATCATGGGACTGGCCCCAGACTCATTAAGCCACATTGCTGCTCTTAACTAAACATCTTTTCCATAAAATAAATGCTTCCAGGTTACTTACAGCCCAGGTTGTGAACGCATCTGATCCCAATTACCCCAGCGATACTGGGCTCTCCCAGCCCCCTGCTCCGACTGCACCATGGCAACAAATAGGAAGTGTGCTCCAACACAGATACGCATGTTTCCCTTCAGTTAAAAAGGGGAAAGGCATTATTAAATAATTGGTTCCTGCTGTTTTTTTTATTCTTCATAATATTAATCTTGGGGTGACTGGAGCTTGTTCTGTTCCTGGTGTTTTTGGGAAAGGCAGGCTGGGGTGGTTACCTGGATGGCAAGCTGGGCTGGGGGGGCCGGGGCAGGGTTGGCACAGGGAGTCACAGTGCAGGGCACAAGTGCGTAGATAAATGGACTAGAATTTTCTTTTTCTAACGTTGTGGGTCAGCAGCCGAAAGTTGAGACGAATATAGAACCAAAAAAAGGACAAGCTGTGGAACATATGTTTCTGGAGGTTGACAGAAAGGTTGTTGTTGTTGGAGAAGATGAATGGGTGAACCAAGGAAGATCAGAGCCCAGCTGGACTTTCTCATTCTTCTGCTCCAGGGCTGTGGAAGTCTCAGCGCACTAGCAATGCTGGTCCAGGACCAGAACCAGGACCGGAGGAGAGCGGCTCATGTCTGCCCTCACTTTGGGGTATAGACGACGCCATTTCTGGAAAGAGAGACCCCCCGCCTGGCCCCCCAGACAATCTTTTCAGTGTTAACAAACATACTTTTCATCAAATGACACTGACAATGATTAAACCTCCAACCCAACACTCTACAGTATACCCTGTAACTCATCAGCATTTTGAGCAGAGCTGCCCAGATCTCTCCCTCTCTCTCCAGCGTGTCCTGGGTCTGCCCCAGGTTCTCCACATGGTTGGACATGCCCAAAACACCTCCCCAGGAAGGTGTCCAGTAGGCATCTTAGTCAGATACCAGAACCACCTCAGCTGGCTCCTTTCAATGCAGAGAAGCAGCAACTCAACTTTGAGCCTCGATTGAGCCTCTGACATGCATTTAATCTGTATGCAGAGGAACAGAAGCTCTACTTTGAGTCCCTCCAAAAGGCTCTGACATGCATTTAATCCATAATCTTAATCATTTTTGCAGCACTCAAGGTAATTAAAGGTATTTTACTTTCTTTATATATTCAAAAAATACCATGGTGGGGATACAGTGGTCCTTCCAAACCCCCCTCCAGAATGCACCAAAGCAATTTTACAAGTAATCAAAACCGGAATCCAAGTCCCGACCCCTCTAAGTATAGACCGCTAACTATTTTTCTGTGAGTAGTACATTCTCCTTACAATAATAAAGGGCACTACACCCCCTGGTGGCAACAAATTAAACCTACCAAGAAAATTTACTTCATATGACCTACTTATAGTTTACGTACGTTAGGTAAGTTCTTTAAAATGTGAATATTTTAAATTAATTTTGTCTGGCCAGAATGGACAAATTCCTTAGCAGCTTATTATTATTATTATTATTATTATTATTATTATTATTATTATTAAATCATCCATAAGGATAATGTGCTGTGGATTCAGCCAAGCGCTCAGTTAGAAGGTGTTGTTAGAAGGAATTTGAATGTCACAAGGCCGACGTAAAACTTGCCAATTGAAGCTTGCCACTCATCCGGGCTGGACTGGAATTAAATATCAGCCTTGGACTTTGAGATCTCACATGAAAAATTGTGATAAATTGTGCGGAGGGGGACGGGGGGTCCTCCATTTTTGTCCCACTTACCCATTGGCGCACCGGGAAAAGCCCGGTGTATCCGATGCCCACTCCAGCCCTGCTATCCACATACGTAGATGACTGCAGGATTGGAAGACACAATGGCAAGTAAATCGAAAAACACGGACTACAAACAAACCCATGAATATACGCTAGACTGTCCGATATTTAAACCCACTAGACAATAGCGCTGCTCAGCGTGTAATATGTAGACTTGCCACCCATCGATGTAGTTATGTAAGCATCGGTATTGCTAATGCGCTATACAGACAAAAGTATTGGGACACACCTCTTAATCACTGAATTCAGGTATTTCATTCAGACCCATTGCCGCAGATGCATAAAATCAAGCACTTAGCCATGCATTCTGGTTTACAATCACTTGTGAAAGAATGGGTTGTTCTGAAGAGCTCAATGAATTCAAATGTGGTACTGTCATAGGATTCCACCTTTGAAAATAAATCAGTTCATGAAATTCCTTCCCTGATAGATAATCCATGGTCATCTGTAAGTGGTATTATTGCAAAGTGGAAGAAACTCAGCCACGAGACCACGTATACCACGTGAAGTAACAGAGCGGGTTCGCTGAATGCTGCCGCCCACATTGCGTAAAAGTAGCCAACACTCTATTGACTCAGTAACTGCAGAGCTCCAAACTTCCTCTGGCATTAACCCCAGCACAAAAACTGCACCAGGAGTTTCATGGAATGGGCTTCCATGACCGAGCAGCTCCATGCAAGCCTCACATTACCAAGTGCAATGTCAAGTGTCAGATGGTGTAATAGATAGCACACCACCACTGGACTCTGGAGCAGTGGAGTTATGCTCGGTGGAGTGACGAATCATGCAGGGATCTCTGTCTGGCAGTCTGATGAACTGGTCCGGGTTTGGCAGATGCCAGGAGAATGTTACCTGACTGACTGTAGGAGGGTTAATGGGGTTGTTTTCAGGGGTTGGGCTAGGCCCCTTAGTTCTATGCTTCCTACTTTGTGGGAACAGTTTGGGGAAGGTCCTTTGCTGTTCCAGCAAGACTGTGTGCCAATGCACCAAGCAAGGTCCATAAAGACATGATTGGGTGAGTTTTGTTTGGGAGAACTTGACTAACAGAGCCCTGACCTCATATCCATCCAACACCTTTGGGGATGAACTAGAATGGCGATTGCGAGCCAGGCTTTCATATCCAATATCAGTGTCTGACCTCACATTTGTTCATCTGGATGAATGGGCAAAAATTCCCACATATACATTCCAAAATGTTGCAGAATGCCTTTCCGGTAGAGTGGCAGCTGTTATCTGCAAAGGAAGCTCCATCTTGATGCCTATGGATTTAGAATTGGGTATCATAATATATATCTGTGTGTGTAGTGTATAATTTAAGCATAAAATATAATTATAATTTAAAAACCCTTAAGTAACACAGAGGCTTCCTGATCTGCACATTTTAAGAAAACCTATCAAGCGCTTCTCAATTTGTTTTACCACACTGATTATTATTAATATTTATGCTATTATTCTTAAAACATAAATAATACTGTGACAATAAATCGACACCAGAGGACGCCAAAAGACTGTGTAAACACAACCCTCCAACAGGAAGCAAAACAATATACTAGATGAAAAGTAAAAGTGAAATATTGAACAGAACAGGCTGTGGAAAAACAAAACAAAAAGAGATTTAACTGAGAAAACATAACAGTTTTTAACACAGAGAATAGGAAGTCATGCTTGTAACCCTGGTATTACTTGTAGTGGGTGATGTAGTGACAGATTACTGCGCAGTGTGGAAAAGTATAGAATTTGATTTTGGCGTTTTCCAAGTCCAGGTAATGATGGATAGAGGAAGGTGTGGGGTCATTAATGACGCAGGGGCCGTTGCAGCTGAGTGGAACAAAATAGCACTTTCTGTTTTCTATGTCCTAAATAGTACGACTTAGGTGGTGTTAGTAACTCGGTGACCAAATAATTAAACCATCCTGCCTACTTAAACATTTCAAAGGAATATATTAGGCCTACATTAAAATTATTTATCAGCCTATTTCTAATTCTAGATTTTCAGCCCAATTTTTTCCGCGTATGGGATGTCCGAAAGTTAATTGCAGAGCCTTTTACGTAACGGTTTACGTCGCAGTTGGCTGTGGGGGAGGTACGACACGTTTCCACGCCTGCCTGTTTAGAACTTACTTTCAAACGCGGTTAAAATGTCAGTGGAGCAGTGACAGCTAATTGATGCATTGATTTGATCATATCTTTCCAATCAGGAAACTACGCGTTTGCTATGTGTACACATATATGAGCGGACTCCATAATCTGCATTGCTTCGCTGTGGATGTGTTTGCTGCAAGTCGCGAGCTTTGTCATACAATGAATCGTAAGTATGAAGGAAAATTAGTCACGTGTGCTTGTACTGTGTCTGACAGTTTAAAATTACAATTAGCGATTTTTGCACTTGCAGTGACCCATCTGAGGTTGATTTGTGCACTTGTTCTGCTGCTATGGCCGTGTCACGGAGACCAGGGGAACACCGCAAAAGCCAGTACTAGTAAGTACCAGTCTTCAGAGGATCACGAAAAAAAATAATTTAAAAATCAGCATAGGCTACTTCTTTCTTTTCTAGTCTGATTGTATGTTTGCAATACTTAAAAGTAGTCGTTTAAAAATCCTGCAATGACATATACTCACTCCACTGAAACGGTCCTCGATGGCTTGGAAGGGGCGTGAGATGTTTTATGAATGACCATTCTAGTCCGCTCGTTTTAAAATAGATTTATTTTAATTATCCGTACGTCTTCATCTATAGTTTCTCCAAAGCAGCATCGCGGTACATGTATGTATTTAAATATTTGAGTTTTACGGCTATCGGAGAGTGTTTCCCTGTATGCATGTATAACGGCGAGATAACTCAAGATTTATCTTCCGTACTTTGGGAAGCTGGCGGAGGTAACGGGGCTGTGCGCAAATGTGAACAAACTTTGGGAACGGTTGTGTATACACAGACGTAAATATCAAGATTAGTAACATAAATATTTTCAAAATAATGTGGTGGTGACTAAGCAAGCAAGTTATTGTCATTTATACAACTACTGTAACAAGATGCTGAATGCATTGGGAGAGAGAGTACCCCTCGAATAAAGAGGCACCAGATATACCTATACGTATATCATAACATTTAGAAAGTATATTAATAAATATATTGTGTACCTGTACGTTTCCACGGAGCAACTTCCTCGTTTCTAGGACCTGATATTTCACTAGTTTTTAAAAGTGTTGGCCGTTAGCAAAGCCTGAATGTTTAGATATCGAAAATGAATTAGAATCCAGGGTTGGACGTGCTTGATTTTCCACACACAGACAGATTACTTAATGTTCCCAAGTCGGGGAAAACTGTACAAACATAAGATAGGACTTGTAACGGGAGTAGACAAAAATGATACATCTCTTTAAACAATGTCTGATAAGATATGGTGAAGATGACTGCGCCCAATATCAGAATATAAACACGTTTTTACTTGGCATTTTAGCGCTCTTTGCAAAAGCATGATTTACGGACAACCCTTTGTTTTATTTTCCGGCCGGATATTCAGTGAGAAATATTTACGTGAATGTGAAACGGCGTTATATCCTTGGCTTTACATGGAAATGTTTGCACGCTTTATTTATCATTTTATAATGCCCGTGTGTATAAATAATTTGGGTTCCTTAATGAAAGAAGTAGATACTTGGACATGAAACGAAATTATGTTTCATATTCTATTTGCATAAGTATAGGAGTGCAGGTAGGCCTACATTGGAATGCTTCTTTTCCCATATCCCATCTTGGCACGCCAATGAACACCAGCCCTCCAATACGTAGAGAGAAGGAGCTCTCAGAGAGAAAAAAAAACGGAAGCATAACAACGAACAGGATTTTCCTCTACTTTTTTCATTAGAATAATATTTCTGCTTCATAGCCAAGCAAGATATCGTTTAAGAATATATTGAGTAACTTTAACGTACCCCATTGACAGACAAGCTATTTCACCCATAGGAAGAGAAGAAAGTTTCTCAGAAATTACACAACTGCCTGCTGCATGGTTTTAAATTGATTTTCCGTGAATGGCCCCATGACCCATAAGAGGATATGCTGTTCATGCACCAGTAGAAAAAAAACAGTTCACTGACAGTGGTAAACCTGCAGCCTGTTAATCTCTCGTTTATACACTTACGGACAAACTGAACGAGGCTATTTTTAATTATCTTAATAAAAATATGCCTCTGGAGGGGGTAAAGGGAAGTCATATGACTTCCTCTGTGACGTTGTTTTTTTTTTCTCAACGAAATTGCTTTGCTTCTCTGTCCTCAGGAAGCTAATTCATGCCGTTCTTTTTTCTGCTGATCATCTCCATTTAAAGATAACTTTAACTGGTTTAGGTGATCCCATTTTATATTGATAATCTGGGTTCACCTGTTGATTAAAAGCTATACACTGAGAGGTATCTTGCGTTTTTGTGTACATAGAAATAGTTGCCCTCAATCCATCCATCGTTTGTAACCACTTATCCTGTTCATGGTCTCAAGGGATCCGGAACCTTCATTCCGTGCAATCAGTATACTAATACACATAATGCAATCCAACGTCCAAATAATATATAGCCTATCAGTATAATAACAAATGAAAAAACTTTAAAGGCAAAATGAATACATGTAAAGTAAAAACTAAAAAGATCAGCACCTCTTTTTTTTTTTTACTTAATCTCTCATTATGTTTAAGAACTGTACATATTTGCTGATTTTTTTTTTTCCTTTATAAGATGTATCTGTTTTTGAAACTGTAAAATATGAAACTTCAAAGGAAAACCTTGCTGATGCAAGGCTCAAATTAGAAGCTAGTGTTCAAAAACTGACTGTCCCTTCTGTGTGCATGTTGAGGGTTTCATAGACATACTCTCTGTTATCACACTGGGGAGTGAACTGGCAGTTTACGGTTCCATTTTTGAGTTTAATGTTCAGTGCTGGTGGACCGGCCGAGCGACACAGGTGGCTGCCCAGGGTGCCATCTTCTCTGGGGGCGCTGAATTAGCAAGCCAGTTTCACTTTGTCTTGGATGGTGAAGCTCACTACATCGGCTTCAACGCATATTGGCATTAATGTATATCACAGTAAAACAAAGTTGCTATGCAACAAAGGTACTTTTTTATTTTTATTGAAACCTATGTTCCTGCTTCCACTCTGCAATGAGTAAGTGGGTACAGGAAACGGATGACTATACATACACACACACAAACACACACACGTCGGGTAAACATATCTTTATGGGAACCGCTCCTTCATTTCTATGGGAAAAATGCTAATGCTAACTATGACAACCTTAACCCCTACCCAACCCTAATCATAACCATAAGTAACCAAACAAAAGACAAGAGATTTTGCATTTCTAGTTTTTTCATTGCAGTCACAGATTTTTATTACATTTTTTTATTAAATTGAGTCCCCATGACGGAAAAAAATGGGTATTCATCATGTTGTGGGGACATTGTGTTCCCATAAGGTAAGGTATACCCGCTCACACATACACACACACACACACACACACACAACCATGGAAAAATTATGAGACTGCTCTATATTTTTAAACAAACATGCATATTTAAATCCTGGTCTAATCCTGGTTCTGCTGGCAGAAAGCTAAACTGCAGGCTGCTTCCAGGCTCAAAGTTTGTAAGACAGCAGCACACAGGGGCGCCGTAAGGGGGAGGAAAGCTAGGACGATTCCAAGGGCCCCTGAGTGACAGGGGCCCTAAAAAATTAGGAAAATAACTGGATTGGTTTGGACTGGGGGGCCTAATATGATATGCTGTCATGGGGCCCGAAATCTCTAGCAACGCCCCTGGCAGCACAGAAGAACAGGGTGAAGCAGGAGACACTGGGAATGACCAAAAACCAGCCAGGTAGAGGGCAGAAGTGACTCTCTAATGCCAGAGATGACCATTAACTTATCAGCCGGTTTCTTGTGAATCATAGGATGACGTCGAGTGATCTTCAAAAGGAATGGGAAACATTAAGTGCAGGTGTGAAGTGCACTGCTAGGACAGAAACAGGACTTAAGTCCCAAAAAGCAAGGAAAAGGTCTTAATGATAAACAGGGATGAACCAGGCTGCAATTTGCAAAAAAAAAAAAAAAGTATATTATTCACAGACTCATAAAGAGAGAAATGAGCGAAACAAAACTTGTGCTGTGATCTCTTAATTTTTTTTCGTGGCTGTATGTGTGTATGTACAGTGTGTGTGTGTATGTACAGTGTGTGTGTATGTACAGTGTGTGTGTACAGTGTGTGTATGTACAGTGTGTGTGTACAGTGTGTGTGTGTACAGTGTGTGTGTGTATGTACAGTGTGTGTATGTACAGTGTGTGTGTATGTACAGTGTGTGTGTACAGTGTGTGTATGTACAGTGTGTGTGTATACAAGTTTTTTTTGTTGTTTAATGATTTTGATCAGTTCTGAGCCACTGTGTGAAATGTATGCTGTGTCCCCTCACCACAGCGAACCCCTGCTGCCATTACCCCTGCCAGCACTGGGGGGTGTGTGTGAGGGTTGGCCTGGCCGGTTACCAGTGTGATTGCACCCGTACTGGTTACTACGGAGAAAACTGCACTATTCGTAAGTGAACTTTTTTTTATGTCAGATCATCAAAACAGAAGTCTGTAACTAGGAGTTGGAGAAAGAGAGGTTTGGTGTGAGGAGGATTATCTTGCAAGACATTCCAGAGCCAGGAAGTGTAAATATTCACAAGCAGCACCTGAGTGAAGTCATTCTGCAAATCTGGCACCCACATGACAACCCACGGCTCCTGAAGCTACGTAAAAAAAAACATTGCACAACATTTTGACAGAAAACCAGCTCAGGTTTTCGTGGTATTAATGACAGACGTCTGTTTTGGGGGGGTCACCTTTGAAATGTCCCCTTTTAACAATCTTGCATATATTGTTTGCCCTTGCCTTGCCCTTGGTTCTATTGCTCAGTCAAGATAAAATGTAAAGTTTATGTCATTCCAACCCTTATTGAACCTGTTAATTTAATTCATAATTTTAAATATCAGATTTAAAAATTTAATATTTTAAGAGGCGTCTTTGTATTTTTGTGGGTGGGATTTTCTGTTTTGCTTGTTAGTTTCTTTGTAATCCCCCGTTTAGTTACTTTATTTTTCCATTAGAGAAAGACCGAGTGTGAGGGGGGTGTGGCACAAATACACAAGACAAGCAGAAAATAACAGGCAACAGGTGATCACAATCTGGAAGTAGCACGAGGTAACGAGGGGGGCGTGGCACACACGAGGATCGGACGAGCTGGGCGTGACACAGAGAAGATAAATTTCAAACTATGGCCATGATATTGTTAATAAAAAGGATAACCCCCAGTTTTACTGTAGAAGGATTTAAGAATTTCCACAAGTAAATGTAATATTTGGATTGCAAATAATGTTTTCTTCACCCTTCTTTCTTTCTCCACAATCTTCTCTTTCCACCACTCTGTTGCAGGTGAATCTTGTCCCCAAACTGTACAGGTTTTTTGATGTACTTCTTAGAAAATTCTTACTTAGCATGCATATTCTTTAGCCTAACCTGTGGTTTGCATCTTGTGCTAAACTCCCGTGCAATCTGTTTATGGCCATCTCAGACACGGCTAGACCTACATCCTGGACAGTGTTTTTGATCCGGCTGACATTTGAAAAGGGGTTTTTCTCTTCAAGTGAAAGTGTTTGTCATCCACCGCAGTGGTCATTCTTGGTCTATGAGGTCATTCCTGTCCTTCTTTCTTTCTCTAATGTACGTAACAGTTGATTTTGGCATGCCTGATGTTTTCTTTCTCTGTTTTTCCACCCTCATAATGGGCTGCTTTACTGGTATCAACACCAGTCTGGTTCTCACATATTTACTAGCCATGTGAGCCTTTTTCAATAGTATGGCAAGTACAGGTGTCTGCAATGACATTAATGAAGCTTCCGTTAAATTTCATTGTAGCATCTGCAATTTCGTTGTATATTTATACAATGACTATTAAAGGAATCTAATCTAATCTAATCTAATCTAATCTAAACCCTGATGAAAATACACACTCAGAATCAGCTCTAGGCCTACTATCAGTTTAATTGTGCAACAACTAAACAGCCAAATGTGGAGGGGAGGGGGACTGTGTATAAAATGGTTATAATTCACCTAATATATGTATGTACATAACCAGCAACTTTACAGGTACAGAGGCTTAGCCTACTGAGTCACATGCTGCAGTTTCTAGGATGAAAAGAAGCACATAAACTGTGAAGGTGCAGAGGTGTCTTTATGGTGTACCCATCAGTGGTACAGCTCCTTCCGTGATCCTCCTAAGATATTTATCTCCCTGTTTGCAGCCGAGTTCTGGACGAGAATCCACCACCTCTTCAGACCCAGTCCAGCTGCGATCCACTACATCCTGACTCACTTCCAGTGGCTGTGGAGCATCATAAACAGAACGTTCATCCGGGACTGGCTCATGCGTGTGGTTCTGACAGGTCAGGCACGTGCTTCCAAGCATAAACACATAGCCCGCTTTTCGTGTGCGTGTCTCAGTGCTTGAGGATACGTGTAGGAGTACGCAACCTCACGTGTGCATGAGTGTGAACCCATATGCAAGCTTCTGTGACCCTATTGTTTAGGAGGAGGGAGGTACTCCGGAGGGCTTGTGAACATGGATGATAAACAGCCATAAAAAAAGTACAATTTTTGGAGGATATGCAAAGGAAACTAGATAACACAGGCACAGCCTTCACTGCATTTGTCTTGGCGAGACATACAACTGGCTCTGTGGCTCAGCCTAGATGGTCTCACAGATCAGGGTATGAACCTTCTTGTTGTTCAGGGTTAGCATTTAAACCTCTATTCTCTACTTTTCACAGTCAGGATTTTACCGGGTCTTGTTGCCGAGTGAGATTCCTACTGACATATTAAAAGGTCTTAATGCCTCTGTTACCAGCACAGCATCTCATGAGCTGTTCATCCTGCACAAATATTTGGATAACATGGATTAGGTTGCGGTCCCATTATCTTCCACTGGTTTTTCCAGTGTATGTAGCAGATGTAAGTGACACTCCCAACCACAACAACCTAAATAGCCCAATCCCACACAGGACATCAATTTCTTCACAAACCGTCTCCATATCAGCTTTGCTCTAGCAATCGGACATCAAAGGTGAAGGCAAACCATCCATCTTCCAGAATCAGTTATCCAGTCATGGTATTCCAGGAGGCATGCAGGAACCACACGGCACGGAATGGGATGCTGACTCATTTCAAGGGCAATCCCCTTAAACTGTGTATGTTTAGACTATGGAAGAAAACCTGAAAAATCAGAGAACCCACACAAACTATACACACACTCTCCATTCATTTCCATGGGCATAACCCTAACCCTAACCCTAACCCTAACCCCAGCTATGACAAACCTTAACCCCTAGCCAGCCCTAACCTTAACCATAAGTAAATAAATGAAATACGAGACTTCTGGAATTTTTAGTTTTTAGATTAGATTCACAGATTTTTTATAAAATTGAGTTACCCCTTTTGGAGAATGAAAAAATGCCCCCGTTTTTAACCACATCGTGTGGACCTTTCAGGAGAACAGTGCACTTTTCCAGCCTTCGTCTTCCCCCGCATTGTGTCCTTTCTGCCCTTTTGTCCTCTTACGACATCTGTCGCACCTTATGACCCGAAAAGTTTTCAACCAAATCTCAACGTTGTTCGGAAGTCTGGCAAAGCGGTCTTTTCAGTGTCTTTTGAAATGAGTTTTTGCTGGATGGGGTGAACCCATTATTAAAAATGTGAGATTAACACCACTGAAGAGTTTTAAAATGACTGTGAGAAACGAGATTTCACGGTCATAGCACAATATCATTTTTTTCTGGTCTGATCTTCCTATATGAATACCAATCCAATATTTTTCCCCTTTGTCAATTACTAAGCATTGATGACATTTGACATTTTCGATTAACATGGCAAACTACCTGCATTTATTGTTGTAATAGCATTGTTTAAGTATAATAAGAATAGGAAAATATAATAGTAATATATAATATTAAAAGATATTAATAAATAATAAATAAACTAATAAAAGATATGCCACTATGCTACAGGAAGAAATCCACGGTCTACATGATTTACACAAAGTGTAATTCTTCGTTTATTCAGTAACCACTTTCAAAAAAATAAACAAATATTTCTTGAAGTGCAAATTGTGCAATCTGTTGCCAAATTAAATCATTCTTCTTCTTTCGGCTGCTCCTGTTCGGGGTCGCCAAAGCGGATCGTCAGTTTCCATTTCTTCCTGTCCTCTGCATCTTCCTCTCCTCTGCATCTTCCTCTTTCACAGCAGCTGCCTGCATGTCCTCTCTCACCACGTCCATAAACCTCCTCTTAGATGTTCATGACATATTGCTCTAGCTTTAGCAAAAAACTGATCAATTTTTAAATATAGAAAGTTTTTGTTATTGAATTTTTTATATTTTAATCAGTTATTACATAGTAATTATTCAAATGGGGATGGCACATTATTTGTTCAATCATCAATCTATAGAGCTGGACAATAGCTTTAAAACATGAGGACCACTTTCGTGCAGTTTACATTAAGGTAAATATAGCCAGTCAAAGTCATACCCCCCCCCCCCTAAAAAAAAGAAAAATTAAAACTTTGTTCACTTAAATCTCCCTCAGTATTGATCCAAGACGTAGTGCACCCAAGCGAAAATTTACTTACGTACTTTTAATATTAAAGATGTAGTATGCTCTTACACTCACAAATATTATGTGTCACTAATGACATATGATTTTATAGGATCTGACTCATTTCAGTATTCTTTTTGGTGCCTAGCCAAACACATGTAGGGGATAAACCACGACATAGTGTGCGGTTATACTAAAAAAATCAAGGCGAAGCGGAGGGCGGCTACCCGGGGTTCGAATGACACAGTGGCTTTCGGGGGGAGCCCTATTTTCCGGTGTGCACCACCAAGTCACATGGACGTACACACACACAGATGCCGTCCCTTCGAAAAACATCATTATAAAAACGTTCAAAACAAGTTATTTTGGCATAAAATTGAGTCAAATTAAAACTGGCCTAAACTGTTTTTATCCCACATACATCATAGTCGCCACGTTAGAATCTCTGAGCAATGGTCTTACAGCTTTCCGCCGTGTTCAGCTGCTCTCACTGTGATTGTACAACAACTAGGCCATCGTTTAACGTTAACAAAGGAAGCCTGCAGTTTGATTATTATCTAAGTTTGATTACTATCGAACAGGCTTTCTGTGTTTCAGTGGTAGAGACTTGGCTGACAGTGATCATGCTAAAACTTTGAGACTGTAGCATGTGTAAAATTTGGAACAGGGAAAGGTGAGGTGTGGGGGGAGGTTCTCTGCTTATCTGTAACTGACTATATTAATTAAAAGTGTAAAGAAAGTTTGCTGTGTGTGGGACACAGGAGGGCGAGACCAGCCAATCAGATTCAAGTCAGAGGCATGGTAAAGTAAAATGTTACATATTATGGATAGTTTAATGAAATTATGCTGCATTTGCACAGGTACTTTGGAATATTTTAGTTTTCTCATACGCCATCATCCCATCTTGCTCTCCTTTGAGACATACACATGTAGAGGTGAGAGCAGGGCGTGGGGTCTGCATCAGCCAGTTAACCAGCTCCCAAGAAGCATTTCTCAGATGTCTAATCTGCTAACCCTCCCCTCCCCCGCCGCATGCAAAGTTTTTTTTTTTTTTTACTTATCTGTGCTTTCTGTACTAATCTTATCTCATCAAAAAACAAACCTGACTCAAGTGTTTTTTTGTGTACTCACATAGTCTCCTAGTGCTGCATCTCGGCACGCAGGCACATTTTACTTGACCGTCACTTCCAGCACCTGCACGCACATCAGCTATGAGGCCATTGCAAATGTGATCATCTCCATAATCATGTCTTTCCTGTCATCAGCAAGATCAAACCTGATCCCAAGCCCCCCAACCTTCAACTCCCGATATGACTACGTGAGCTGGGAGTCTTACTCCAACATCACCTACTACACACGCCTCCTTCCCCCGGTGCCCAAGGACTGTCCCCTGCCCATGGGAACCAAAGGTGAGTCCACCAGGAGACAGAGAACTCTGGCTGATTGCTGGACAGTTTGAGCCAAAGACTGCTGTATGTTCTGTGTGTGTTTGTGTGACTGTATACCCATTTTGCTGTTTACTTCCTCTATCACATCAAACCCTTAAGATTCCCAGCTGAATTAGATAGAGGATAATCAGTTCTGAGTTAGAATGCATCACTAGCAGAGCATCATGATAATTATCCAAGCCCAAATACCAAGAATCAGTTTGATCAGTCACCATTAGTCCACCAAAACTTTACAGTATATTTGATCCTGTTGTACCATAAAGCAAAATTCATGATTACGATTAGCGGTGCATCCAGACCGATATGGTACTCATGTACTAATACTCATCCTCCTTCCGATACCTGTAGACGATACTACACGATGACATATCAGCGATACCGTTAACGGGCAAAATAACTGGGACCACAAAATGTCTTCGATGTGGAAGTACTTAAACACAAACGACAAAAACAAAAGCGTAGCTGAATGAAAACTGTGCTCTGGTAAAATATCAAGGGGGGCTTCGGAACAAGTTCATACAACACTATTATTCTAATTAAACATTTAAAAACTAAACACAAAAAAGAGTATGATGGAATTGCCACTAGCAGCACTCTGCAACAACCCATCCTGCAGAAAACACAGAAAAATTAAATATCAGAAGGTACCTCTTGTGCAGCGCAAATGACTAAAGCTCTTAAGCAGTGTATCGTTCTTGACGATCAAGTCGTAATCGTGATACACAGAGAGCATAATATTTTCTGAGATGGTATGAGGCAGTGCTTGGATAAAAACAGGTGCTGGTACTCCGCTTGTTACTCAGTACCTGTCAGGGTCTGTAGCCTCAACCCCCGCCCTCTGTGACCCTTCCCCATTCGGCCAGCATGCATTGCTGGCCATTCTGCCTTTCCCCCTCTCTGTCTTAGTTCCTAGTCTTCCCTAATGTGTTCCCCCCATTCCCCGGACTGCCGCACAGCATAGTGGGCTGAGCATGTAGCTCCGTCTGTAAATCTGGGGGTCGTGGGTTTCAGACTAGTACATCCCAGTCTCGCCTGTTTGGGATTTTGTTTGCCTTTTGTCCTCCAGTCTTTGTAGTTTTGGTTTTCTTAGTGTTTATTTTCTTTCATAGTTCTCCCATCCGTGCTCCACCCTCCCTGCGTTAGCATTCGGTTTTTTGTTCTTCTCGTATTTTCTATCAGTCTTGTATTTCCAATGTTTGATTAGTGCTTTCTAGTTTAACCTCCCTAGTTCTGTTTCACCTGTTGCTTGTATTGTGTTCTGTTTTGATTGGTTGTTAAGTTAATACTTCTCTCCTGTGTCCTCGTTAGCTCAGTCTGGTTTGTGTATTTAAGTTCTTGCCTTTGTTCATTTCCCTATTTGGTCATTGTGTAGAGTTGATGCTCTGGTTGGGTTTTTTTTCTTTCTGCTCCCTCTGTTGCCATTTTCCCCTTGTTACCTTTTTAGATTTTTTTTTCTAGTTAGTTATTTTTTCCCCCATTTGCTTTTAACCCCTTGTGGTCCATTACTTTGTGCCTTCCTCAGTGTTCGGTTCCCTAATAAGCACCTTTGTCTTGTGAGCCACCAGTGGATGATCTTTTCCTGTCTGTTCCATGTCACTCCGCCATGACAGCACCAGGTGCCAGTACTCACCTTGTTATTCAGTACCAGGTGCTGGTACTCCCCTTGGTATTCAATACCAGGTGCCGGTACTCGCCTTGTTATTCAGTACCAGGTGTCTTGGTATTCAGTACCAGGTGCCCTTGGTATTCAATGCAAGCAGATACTAGGTGCCTGTACTCTAAAGAGAAAAACAAGGAGATGCTGGCACTGTATACTGATGAGTACCAGCCCTCATTCAGCAAGCACAAGTACGAGGTATAAGAAAGAAACAAGTTTGCGAAGCACTGCTTTATTTGGTTTTAGACAGCATGCAACATGTTTTTCAATCATAATTAAATCTGGCCTGCCACTCGTTTTATATCGAGATGAATGAACGGTGATCAGCGCTTCCAATTAGTAAACCCCCCACCCTCGATCGGCAACTTTCGGTGCCTGCTGTTTAGTTGATTATCACTGTGTTTGTTTGTTTGTTTGTGGTGGGGGTAGGGTAGGGTATGTGAGCGGAGTGGAAGGATTTCGGCTGGAGTGGGTGTGAGCACAGAGTGTCACCAGCTCACATCTTGAAATAGGTCATTTCTGCTTGAATGTCAATTTGGCTGCTGAGTTCGCCAGACTAAACTGACCGGAGCGGCTGTGAGCGGGGGAAGCGTACTGCTCTGTGAACCATGAGCAGAAATTCTTGTTGCTCCGCTCCGTTCACATGCTCAGATGGGGGAGGAGCATGAGCGATTTCGATATCGGTTATCCTGATATTCTTAAGTTACAATATCTGATAATATTATATGATCTTTTTTTATTATTATCGCTAAGTCTTAATTGATACCGGTAAGTAGCAGAAAGCGAGCATCGTAACGCATACTTTGTGTGAGTCAGTCATTATCAGAAGACGTGTAACATTTAAACTCACAGCCTTGAAGTCCATGCTCAATGAGTGATGCCGCCTTTTTAATGAGTCTTTATCTTGTACTATACATCTTATCTTGTCAAGAAAGTGGTTAGTAAATGGAGCCTAAAGAGCCAGCCGGCCTGAGACAGCAAGAAGCAGATCTGCTCAGGAGGGTGGAGCCTCACGATTAAGGTTTCTGTTTGCCCACCACAGGAGCAGGATGCTGTCTTTGGTTCTCACCCATGTGTGCTTTCAGTTACATTATCGTTTAAGCTGCCTTTTAGCGTCTGCTTGTAGCTGTACTTGTTTCATCAATTTGATAGCAGCCTTGCCAAATCAGTCATCACATTCTTGGCCAAGTCATAAGAAAATGTGGTCTGACAGTTCTGTGGAAATAAGTTTGATCAACTTCCTTTCTTGTCTTTTGAATGAGAAATAAATTTGTGCTTAAGTTTTTTTGGAAGAAAATATATGTATCTTAGGAGTGGTACAGTGGAGCCATTTGTTAGGAGGAAGGGAAGTACAAAATCAGTTGGTTCAAAGCAAAGACTTTCACATAGCTGGGCACTAAGGTTCTAAGCATTCAGGGTGACATAGCTCAGCACTAAGATTCTAAGCACTCAGGTTGTCATAGCTGGCCACTAAGGTTCTAAGCATTCAGGGTGACATAGCTCAGCACTAAGATTCTAAGCACTCAGGTTGTCATAGCTGGGCACTAAGGTTCTAATCATTCATGGTGACATAGCTGGGCACTAAGGTTCTAAGCACTCAGGTTGACATAACAGGGATTGACTGTCTGAGTTTATTTCCTTTCTCTGTAGGAAAAGCTGAGCTTCCAGATGCCCAGCTGTTGGTGGAAAGGTTCCTCCTAAGGAGGACATTCAGACCAGACCCTCAGGGAACCAACCTTATGTTTGCTTTTTTTGCTCAACATTTCACCCACCAGTTCTTCAGTACTCACAACAGCATGGGGCTGGGCTTCACGAAGGGCCTGGGTCACGGGGTGAGTGCTGTCCGCACCCGTCGCTTTCTGTCTCCCTCGCAGCCAGGGCATGTTTACACTGACCTGTCAGGGAGGGGTCTCAGTTCTTTCCCCTGAAGAAACATCACAGATACAGCTATTAATTCCTCCCTATATCAGAAAATTCATTGATAAATGACAGTTAAGGGTCATGGTTTTGTTAATATTGTACCATTCATGTAATGTACAACAAATCTACAAAGTCCATTAATTTCTCTTAATATATTAACTGATTCTTTGAGACCCTCCTACTTGTAAATGTACAGATGAAATGATTGATATACAGTGTAGTCATTAGGTATTAGGACTGTGATGTTTTTATTTGGCTCTGTAAACAGTCAAAATGGATTTGAAATATGCTCTTAAAAGTGCAGACTGTCAGTTTTAATCAAAAGCTCTGAACAGCTTTTTTGGGTGAACTGTGTATGGACTATTTTTATACATATCCCCACCCCCGTAAGGAACCAAAAGTATATGGACAATAGGCTGCTTAGCTGCTCCCTGTGAGTTCCCTGTAAAACCAGGTGAGTTTTGCTACAATGGCAATTCATGCATAATTTAAGATGATTCCTTGTGGTGTTTTTATTAGGAATCTTTTGTTGTTGTTGTTACTCGAAATGAGGAGCAAAGAGGTGTCGATGCCAACAAAGCAGACTGAAGAATCAGAAGAAAAACATTCGTGGTTTTGGTACTTTGAAAAGAAAGAACCTCAGAAATACCAACTTGCCTGGTAGACCAAGGATGGCTACTGCAGTGGATGGCAGAAGAGCACTTTTGCTTGTAAAGAAAAACCCCTTTTCAAATGTCAGCCAGATCAAAAACACCTTTCAGGATGTAGGTCTAGCCATGTCCGGTGATAATCGAAAATAGATGATTGCACGAGAGTTTACCACAAGATGCAAACCGCATTTACGCCGATAAAACAGATATGCCAAGTTGCAGTTTTCTAAGAAGTACATCAAAAAACCTGTACAGTTTGGGAATAATGTCTTATAGACAAGATTCATCTGCACCAGAGTGGTGGAAAGAGAAGATTGTGGAGAAAGAAAGGGATCACCCGTGATCCTCAGCGTACGCCCTCCTCTCTGAAACATGGTGGAGGTAGTTTTATGGCTAGAACATGTTGTATTTATTGGGGTTGACCGGTGATAAAAGCACTATCATAAAATATGAGACATGCAATGACATCTGATCTGCTCAGATTTAATCGCATGCATCAAAACTCTTTGGACTGCACTATGGAATGAAAGAGACCCAAACATTACCTGTAAAACAGCCAAAGAGATCTTCAAGGTGAAATTGTGGAATATTTGAGTGAATCACCGGACCTAAATCAGACTGAGCATGTATTTCACTTGCTGAAGACCAGAGTAAAGCCAAAACGTCCCCAAAATAAGTGGGAAATAAGTGTAGATGGCACATCTCCAGGGAAGAAGCCCAGTACCTGCTGATATCTATGGGTGCCACACCTCAATCAGTCATTGATTACAAAGGATCTGCAACCAGCACTAAATATGAGTTGTCTTTAAGATATTAATTTGTCCAAAAACCATTGGTCTCTTAAAATGGGGGGACAGTTTATAAAAGCAGTTATAATTCCTGCACAGTTCAATATAGCTGTCCATAGCCTTTAATTAAAGCTGGCTTTTTGCATTTTAGACTCCCATTGAGTGATTCATTTCAAATCCACTGTGTTGTATACAGAACCAAAATCATAAAAATATGTGTCACTGTCCCAATACTTATGGTCTGTACTCTAAGGCTAGTAGAAAAAAACTCAATTAATGTGAGTCTACACCATGTATGTAGCACTGGGAGGGGAACATTTATTTGTAGTGCTGACCGTGTCTGTCTGTCCATCCTCAGGTGGATGCAGGGCACATCTATGGAGACAATCTCAGCCGCCAACTGAAACTCCGTCTGCACAGGGATGGGAAACTGAAGCACCAGGTAATGGTGTATAACAGTATCAACTACAGGCTTTAGAAGGCCTGTGTTGGTTTTCTATAGCAATGTTTCCCAACCCAGTGCTCAGGGAATCCCAGACAGTCCACATTTTTGCTCCCTCCGAGCCGGGAGGGAGCGAAAATGCAAGTGTCTGGCAGGGAGCTCAGAGGGACCAAAGAACACGAACCGCCTGCGGGTCTCCAAGGACCGCCTGCTGGTCTCCAAGGACCACCTGCGGGTCTCCAAGGACCGGGTTGGGAAACATTGTTCTATATCATGGACGCCAACCGTGTTACATTACTGTAGGTGTTTGTATGGCATGCAGGTGAGAACCTTCAGTTGCTTCTCATTTGGTGCAGCAGATGTTTCTGGTTCAGATGAGTGGTCCATGCTCATGTTCCTCACTGTGTTTATTTCCAAGATTCCATTTCTGGATCCAAATCGTATATTTATACTGTATGACACAGCTTTGAGTGACAATAAGTTTCTTCTGTTAGAGGAATCATCTTTGGGTAATGGTCTAGATGTGTGTGTGAGCTTTATTAAACTTCATATGTTGTTGCTCTACAACCTATGGTCTGAGACTTTTATAGTCACAAGCTAATGTAATCTAAAAACTAATCTTTGTCCTCTGTCTTATCTGCTTTCTAAATAACTGATTATCAGATATTCTGTACAACTGTACTAGCCATTAACCAATGAGAATTCAGTCTGAATTACTGCCTTATGTATTATGGTCTACTTACATATTTCTGTGGTGGTGCATAACGCTTATTCTGCAAGATTCGGATGAGATAAGGTTTGATATGCAGCCACGCCTTTTCTGATGTCTGCATGCACTTTCAGCTTCTCAGTATCCTAGAATTCTCTCCACATATCAAAAGGTTGACATGCTTTGGAAAATGCCACAGTGTTCTGTCTGAGTACTCCTTTTCATTCCTTCTGCATTACACACACTCTGTTGTTCGTTATGCAACACCTTATGGTACATATCAAGATCTCATTCTCTTTCACTTTCTTACTAAAAATAGAGATGTGAGGCCATAGTGATACCCCACCAGACACCATATCACTTATGGTGATTGTATTATAATACAAGGAATAGCAGCAAATAGAGACCTTCAGAAGTGATATCACACTGTTTCTCATTGACGGGCATTTCTAACTAACTTGTAGACACATATGCACATACTGGCAGATGTAGGAAGTTATTCACAAACCAGTTGCAAGATAGCAAATATCACAATACAAATATACAGCTGTCAAGGAGGTCCAATGAATGTCCAGGTACAAGTGTAAGCAGTGTTGGAGCAGGAGCTACACAATATCTTTCAACAAAGCATGAACCTAACAAAACAGTTATTCAAATCAGCAGAAAATGCAACATTAAAAGCATTCAGGGAAGATTTAGTGGAATCAGTTAGCAGAGGTACGATTTGTTACTGATGATCCGTTACTGTCTCTCTACTGGTTCCCTGGCAGTAAGTGTACAGGCAGGAAGTGGGTTTGGCTTTGCTTGCATAGTTTAGGTTATGTCTATGTTCTTAATTGTATAGAAATCCAGGGCTTGAGTTATGTTTACATATGAATGTGAGTCAGACGGAGGCCGGACGTTTTCCAGCTGAGCAGAAGCACGGTGGGCGCTGGGTAGGATTGGCCCTGTAATCTTATTTCTCCCCATGCAGGTGATCGATGGTGAGGTGTACCCCCCAACCCTGACGGAGGTGCCCGTCAGCATGAGCTACCCCCCGCATGTCCCAATGGAGCAGCGCTTGGCCATCGGCCAGGAGGTGTTCGGGCTGCTCCCCGGACTGGGCTTCTATGCCACGCTATGGCTGCGTGAGCACAACCGGCTGTGCGACATCCTGAAGGCGGAACACCCCACCTGGGATGATGAGCAGCTCTTCCAGACCGCCCGACTCATCGTCATCGGTGAGTACTCCCCCTGCAAGGAGGACACCCTCCGATGCACTTTCAGTTTTACTTCCCCCTCGGAGCTCTATCAAGCACACTCGCTGCAAAAGCATCTGAGATACTAATGTACAGTCAACTTGAATCTAGCTAGTATATGTGTGTGTGTGTTTTTTTTTTCCTGAAAGCAAATGTCTTTCGGTTTTAAGGTGAAACCATACGCATTGTAATCGAAGACTACGTGCAACACCTGAGTGGCTACCTGCTAAAGCTCAAGTTTGACCCATCCCTGCTGTTCAATGTCCAGTTCCAGTACCAGAACCGCATTGCTGTGGAATTTAACCAGCTGTACCACTGGCATCCACTGATGCCAGACAGTTTCAAGATAGATGAAGAAGAAATCCCCTATAGCCAGTTCATCTTCAACACCTCCGTTCTGACCCACTACGGCGTGGAGAAGCTTGCTGAAGCCTTTTCTAAGCAGATTGCTGGACAGGTATCATGCAATATCCGTTACTGGTTTAATGACGTCTGCACCCAGACATGAAAAATTCATTGAGGGCATTTCAATTGAATTCTGTCATAGGCACATATATATGTGGCGACAACCCAGCCTTGTCCCTAGCTGGTCCCATAGCTGGTTCTGATGTTCAAATTACTGGAGGATAAAGACCAGATGGGTAGCAATGTTGATCCCAGTGGGGAAATTGTCTTTATTAGACATATAGATTGTTTGAAGGATAGGCTATCAGACATGGGACAGTGCTTTTTAGTGACGTTATAAAACCCAGGGATGGCTGTTATATATCAGTTTGTTCTATTTACAAATGAACTTGTCTAAAATTGCTAAAAACTCAAATATCATGTATTTTAAAAAAGTCTGCAAAAGACCACTTGTAATTTTTTTACCAGTAGAACTAAGGAATAACAGATTGTTTACTTTGGGTTTAAATGTAACTAATATTACTGATAAGACTGGATGCTTCCTGTAATGACATACAGTTGATCATAGCATTAATCAACTATACTGGGAGTGGTAGAATCACTAGACCAGGGGTCTCAAACTCCAGTCCTGGGGGCCGAAGCCCTGTGTAGCTTAGTTCTTTCCCTGTTCCACCACAAATGATTCAGCTCAAGAGCTGTGTGGTAATTAGCACAAGGAGTTGAATCAGGTGTGTTAAATGAGGATGAACCAAAAACTGTGTAGGGCTCCAGCCCTCCAGGACTGGAGTTTGACACCCCTGCAATAAACTGAGCTACTTTGCAGTTGGGTTCAGTGCTGAACACAGTGACCCCTGCTGCTTGAACCCAGGTATTACAGAGAAGCAACCTGTGAGGGTCAACCCTGTTACCATACTGTGCCTTGTCTCAAGGACACACTAGCATCATAAATACAAAGACCCATTTTCTTCTGTTTCTGAAAAACATAAACCCTACAGGACTTCACCATGCAGACTGCAAACCCTGTATATACCAGATGACTCGTCTTTTTTAGCATTTTTGCCTTTAGCGGAAACCTTCACTGCTTCTTGTAACTCTGAAGCTATCGATTTTTGAATCTTTTACAGCATGTGAAAGACAGTTGAATCTTTCGCATTTTTTCTAATTCCTGAAACCCTCCTTTCGCAAGATGCGAAAAAATGTTCTCTAATTAATGATTAAATGGTGATAATGAGCGAAAATGAAATTCACTGTGAGTGAGCGTATAATGTGATGCTTGTCATTATCTGCTATATCACAAATGGAAAGTAAGTAACACAGTACATGGCTGATAATGACCAACTACTCTTTAGTTACAATTATAGTCTATTTTGTTAGCATCATGTATTATTAAACGTATTCAAGTATTCTGCCTATTTGCTGATTTAATGGGTAGCTAGATCCAGCCCTGCTTCTCCCAATTTTTTAAGTCCCCCCCCCCCCTTATTTTACATGCTTTATTGTCCCCCCACAATTCAAAGGCCTGCAGTTCAGAAAATAACACTGCTTGACAGTCCTACACTGGAGCGCTCGGTTTGTCCATTGACGACAGCATTTTCTTCAGATAGGGGGCGGTCGCAACTTCCATCCAGTAGTAACAAAGGTAGCGTTGGCTGTCATCAAGGAGTCCAGGCAACTGCGCCTTCAGCCGTTCAACCAGTACAGGAAGCGGTTCAACCTCCAGCCCTATTCTTCTTTTATTGAGTTGACAGGTAAGATTTCAACTGATGGTCCCCTGCTGTTCATACAGTACAGGTGACACTGCTAGCTAATCCTTCCTTTACAGAGACAACAGTTACAGTTCTCACTGACATTCAGAGGTTACGACAGTGGTCACTGAATGTACTGTACTGTGCAAAAGTCTTAGGCAGTCAAAAGAAATGTTTAAAGCAATTTATCTGGGTAGTAAGTGTACTTTGGCTTAGAACAAAAAGGCACAATTTAATGTTAGATCTTATGCAAATTAATAGTAACACAATAAAAAACTAGTAAGAATTTCTTCTGTTCTCCCAAAAAGTTACTGATATCTTGTTGGATGGCTTGATGAACACTGCTTCAGTTCCCAAAACTCTCCTCAGGGGCACCTCAGCCATTCCATGTATTCATTCAGTTTAACCACCAGCTCAATGAATTAGCTTAATTAGTTAAAAAGGTCGGTGAGATATTGATTAGCTGTACGGTGTGCTAATGAATCGAGTCAAAAAATACCTTGGTGTATTGTATGGTTGCTGGAAATACTGGGATGATTTTAGCAGAGGTTTTGAAATGGCTAAGCTAACACACCTTGGCAGGCATAATAGCACAGTTTTACACCAAAATAACGATCATTTAAGCATCATTTTCTTTGACTACCTTAAGACCTTTGCACAGCACTGTATCTCCGGCCATTTCTTGGTGCGCTCAGTGCCTGGTCTGTTTCACAGGCGAGGAGGAAATAGCAGCAGAGCTGCAGGAGCTGTACGGCGACATCGACGCCCTGGAGTACTATGTCGGCCTAATGCTGGAGAAGACGCGGCGTGGAGCTGTGTTTGGAGAGAGCATGGTGGAGATGGGGGCGCCGTTCTCGCTCAAGGGGCTCCTGGGGAATCCCATTTGCTCTCCGGAGTACTGGAAACCCAGCACCTTTGGTGGACAGACCGGCTTCGACATAGTCAATTCCGCCTCCCTAAAGAAACTGGTGTGTCTGAACTCCAAGTGGTGTCCGCATGTGTCCTTCAGCGTTACGGAGAGTCCCGCCGACCCCCCCAGGGACCGCCACAAGCCGTCCACAGAACTGTAGCTATCCATACTGCCTGTTCACACTGATCATACTCATTACTCCAGTCATTCTGACCTATCATACATACACATTCCCACAAACAAACTGCAGCTCTATCTGACGCGTGAATCATAACCCTGACCTGCTTAGGGACAGAGACATGGCACGCACACGCAGACTGTCATCAGCTCCAGCTTTTGGGTTATTCTGTTGTGTCACTGTTGTACCAGTGGGTTATTCTGCTGTGATGCTACACAGGAACTCAACAATGGAAAAAAATCTATGGGAATTTGTCATAAAGTGCGATGCGGGTCTTAAGTAGCCCTAGTGATGTTTGTCATTTTGAAGGATGTTTTTTAATAAAATTGAGACTTGAATGTGGCACATGAATTGATTATCTTAATACCTAGACATGACAGACCAAGCTCTGATGGATGTCATGGGGGGGAGGGGCTGTAATATGTTATTCCCTGCATCGTTCTTGCTGGTTCTGGGATAGCCTCTGGACCCCAGTGACCGTTCATGGATGGATGGATGAAGTATAGCAGAAGGTCAGCACCTAGCACAGTGAAGTGGTCCTTGTCTTGAAATACGTACCTTAGCAATAAGTTCCAGGGAATTGGCAGGTGAAATTCCAAGATGCATAAAAGAAATGAAGAATAACCATTTATCCAAAGCATGGTCACAGTAAGCCTACAGCCTGTTTAGTCCACTCCAGGTAAGGATGCGTCACAAACACAAAGGCCAAGTGAAAGATGCAAAGCAGCATTAACCAGCTGTCTTTGAGCCATGCTGGAGGTTTGGGAAAATGAGAAGAATGACAAGTATTATATACCTTAATGCGCTTAGAACCTTTACATTAATTAGTCTCTAAAAGGCTTAGTTACTGTACAGTGATGTATCATAAAGCAGGCAAATAGCCAAGTTAAGTGTTTGTTGCAGACGGTGACTAAATTGACTTTTATTAATTGAAATGTTAGACTGAAAAGTATTTAATGTGCTGGAAGTCTGTTTATTGGGCAAATCAATCACTACTGAGATTCACACTTATTTCCTACAAAATTTGGAATGTAGATGTACAGTTGGATTACAAAATTGTGAGGCTTCCTTATTCTGCTTTGGTATATATTTTTAACCATCAACATATTTTTAACATACAATCTATGCTAGATTCAATCCTGTTCCCCACAGCCTACGAGTATATCATATGTCAAATATTCTAAAAGGTATGCAAAACAACATTGCTAAATTCCTCTCCTGCTTTATGTGCAAAGGTATCATCTTCAAAATATGATCCTCAGAGGTCCTTCTGTTTCCCAGTGTCTTTCCATAAATTTTTACACCTGTGTGTGGGATCTTCCTCTCATTATTCAGAGCCTCCCAAACCCCCCAGTAATCTAAACTCGGGGTCAGAGCTTCCAAACCCAGAGAATTCTATCCCTCCCTCAGACGCAGTAGTAACAGTCTGTACCAGTAACACTGATGATTTGTGACTGCGAGGTCCGTTAGTATGCATGTCCCTTTGGTTGGAGTGTGAGAATTAACAGTCAGCTTTTTAGATACTTTTAACAGTAAAAGTCAAGGCGCAAAAGCTTCGCAAAAAACAACTAGGATCACACATAAAAACTGCTATTGCTACTCTAATTAAAGGCACCAGCTACATCATTCAGGAAGTCTTAGCATCCTAATGAAAACAAATTATTTAACAACATTTCATAGTTTGAATTTCAGATAAAACTAGAATCTCTATTAAACAAATTAAACAATATTCATAAGTATTTTCATAATACACGTTCCCGCCAAGCATGTTTTCTCAATGCCAAGCATATATTGTGGCCTTTGCTGCCAGGGATGTACAGAGGTCCTTCTTCATCTGTCTTCATGAAGGCTTGCTTTTCTTCACCTGTTATCTTCATTCTTCACCCAGTATCTTAATTCTTGCTCTTCTTTACAAACACACTCGATGCTCTGCAGCCATGACAACAGGCAAGAAACAGATGAGCTAATAAACTGGCCTGCCAAACTACAGTTATTCAGTCGGTGTAACACTTGTCATTTTGCATATTCATCTTCACACTCACCGCACTGCATGCTGGGAGTAACCCGGTCAGATTCTGGGCTGTCAGCCAGTCGAGAGCCTGGGGGAGGGGGTGGCGGGGTGGGGGCTGAGGGGTAGAAATGGACATCCACCGCAACTGTGGTGACGCCCATGGAGATGCAGTGGGAAAGTAGCAGGGGCCCAGAGGCATGAGAAATGTTGACACTATGGCTGACTGGTGTGGTGAAAGCCTCGGAGGTCTGCAGGGTGAGAGATGTGTGAAGCCCATCCTCCCGCGAAGGCTTGGGGCTGGCGGGCAGGGGAAGGGGGTCCGGGCACGGCCTCCAGTGCTCAGAATCACCCAGCCGCATGTTGGGCTGGGGCGAAGGGGGGTGTTTCTCTCTTTCCGATCGGCACACCATCTGATTCAGGAAGTTATGCAATTACTCTTCCCTCTGTCACAAAACTGATGGCTCAATCGCACAGAAGGGCCCCCCTCCCCGGGCCTCCCGCACAAACCTGCAGCTCGTTCCGATGTTCAGTGTCCAGCTGTGCTGGGACAGGGGAGGCGGGGGCCGGCTGGGTCTCGCCTGGAGACTCCGTCATCCCCGTTTTAGCACCAGGTGTGGGCAGGGGGGCTCTTGTTCCAAATGCGTCAGGGCTTTGCTCGATGACAGCAACAAAATCATCATCTTCAAACGCCCTGTGGCACGGCAGATGCAGTAACGTGACCGGAGGGAGGAACCCGATTATACAAAACAAAATTAATTTTGTCAATTAATAGTATTTACAGCAACCTGTTCTCATATGTCCTTCTTATCTCCAGACGGCCACCACGCCTGCAAGGGGCACCCAAGCCCCTCTGAGCTGTGGGGGAATTTCTCACATATGTCAGACATCTGAGCTCTCGCTGTTGCCTATTTGTCTAGCTTTAGTGGCAAAGCAAATACGGCAAAAACCACAAACGATGACCTCACCTCCACGTCCTGCGAGAGCAGGGTCATTCTTCTGTACCAGGGAGTAGAACGCCATGGTGATGAAGATGAAGGTGAGGGACACGCCCACTCCAACCACTATGGGGATGTCGTGCTTTTCGAGGGCAGGAAACCAAGACAGAGGATGGTGTTGCTTCACCCTGTGGAGGAGGGAGGGTGGATGATACTGAAAGTCTGCACTGGTGTCAGAGCTCATTATCTGCATCTTGATTTGACTTTGGCTGATTCTTCAGACCACAGTGCAGATCATGCATCATTTAGTTCTGAGAATGCAGCATGTTCACATGGTGAGTGTTATCTTTTAATTTCACTTGCATTATGACCTTGGCAGCCTTCATGACAAAAATTACACTTTAGCATTTCTTCTGGGACACATGTTGTTTTTAACACATTCTTAAATTTGCATTTTAACACATACATAAATATAGAACACAGACATACTGTGTGTATATATATGGTGTAAAACTACAATATCTGTAAAAGTGTTTTAGCTTAACTAGTTCAAGACCTCTCCTACTTTCTGACCAAATAAATAGCTTTAAACATTTTCTTTCACTACCGAAGACTTGGATGCCCCACATCCTGCCAGCGAATCGTGGTCTTCTCTCCTGAGACCACTGTCAGTAGGCAATCTCCATTTCAGAGATGCTCTGACATAGTTGCCTGGCCATAATGATTTGGCCCTTGTCAAAAGTCATTCCTTCTCCATACCACTGCGACTACCAAAAGTTGGCATATATCTTACATGCCTCAGATTTTTAAATGCACTGTTTTTATGAGATTATTTGCATCACAATATTTTGGCTCCACGGTGTACAACATAATGATGTTAATTATAACAGAATGTTTGTAATATACTCTGTACTTAATGGTAAAATGAAAGACATTTAAGGCCCAAACAACATGTGTCTGTGTACAGGGGCACCGTAAGGTGGGGGAAAGTTAGGACGATTCCAATGGCCCCTGAGTGACAGGGGGCCTAGAAGATTTGAAAAATAATTGGATTGGTCAGGACTGGGGGGCCCAATATGCCTTCATGGGGCCCAAAATCTCTATCAACGCCCCTGCCCGTGTAAAGCTAACCTTGCAGTGTCATCACTGGTTCTCATGGGAGCCTGGGACGTATTCTTCCTGGGCCACTCTGTGAGTTCTGTATTGCTGGGCTTATCAGGTCTAGTAGGTCGGTTCCAGTCCTGCAGTTTGGGTACTGTGGAAATTATGTCATCTTTCCGGGATAGAACTGGACCTATGGATGTGGTAAGAGGTTTGGTAGACTGTGTTGGAGCTACAGGATGTGATGTGTGAAGGCCAGGAGCCAAGGAAAGGAGGTTAACGTGTGGGATGTATAAGTAATCAGGGGATGCTTCCGGGGATTGAAACTGAAAGCTGGTGGGTGGAGAATATAAATCAGGGGGAGGAGTTTGATTCTCGGTTGAAAGAGATTGAAAGGTGGTGGGTGGAGAGTATAAGTCAGGGAGAGAAGTTTGATCTTTGGATGAAAGGGATTGAAAGGTGGTGGGTGGAGAATATAAGTCAGGGGGAGGAGTTTGATTCTCAGTTGAAAGAGATTGAAAGGTGGTGGGTGGAGAATATAAGTCAGGG